TAAATCTGTTCAAGTTTTCATCCAAATCGACTGCAAGATCCATTTTAAAAGAAAAAATTTGTTTTAAAAGAAAACATTTGTTTGGAGTAGACTTAGTCACATATTTTGCATGAAGTTTTGTCCATAATTCTGCAGCAATTTTAGTTTCACCAATATTTCTTATCACATTTTCAGATAAGTGTAAGAAGATAGTACTTCATGCAACTTCATCAAGTTCAGACTTCTTGGCAGGAAGTAATTCAGCAGGCCAACTATCATCCAAAGCTTTAACACATTTCATTTGCATTAAAACAGCTTTCATTTTCTGACTCCACATGTTAAAATCAATTTTTCCATCAAACTGACTAACTTCAAATTTGCAGAAGCCATGCTAAAGATCAATTCAGACACATGCGCTGATGACAGGTAACACAGCATGCAAAGAACCAGCAGGAGCACAGAATAATCACAGATAGAAAATCATAGTAATACACACGGTATAACAAGATTTTCAAACAGCAAGTATCAGCAAGGAGTATGCAGACCAAGATTCAAGAGAATACACGGTAACAGAGATCACAGACTATGTTTCTAAGATCACTTCAGCAAGATTCTCCAAGAACACACCCAAACTTGATTTATCTCAAATTCTCGAAGCCTCGCAGGAGCTCCTTGACAAAGATTAGTCTCAAGGGGATTTCAACAGTGATCAAGAAACCCTAATTTTAAAAGTAAACCTTTAAAATTTAAAAGATCTCACCAAGCGAGTTTAAAAATAAACTCGACTTCTTATGGTTTTCTTAAGAGTAGACTCAAACCCTTTAGGATCTGAAACAGATCTGCCTCTTTCTCAAAAGATCCAGGTAACTTATTCTACCAGTCCAATCTCTGATACCACTGTAAGGCTCAGACCAACACACGATATGAGAATAGAAACAAAAAAATAACCAAAACAATAAAATAAAACTGCAGAAAATTAAAGAATGAACACAAGAATTGTTTCGGCCATAGCCCTGGAGGTTCTGTGACCGCTTCCAACACCTACATCCCCCGTTAAGCATCCATAAAAAGGATTATGCTCATATGCACTAAATCAGCTACAAAATGGCAACAAAGGTTACAGAGAGTTCAGGAAAGAGATATGAGACTTATCTCTCAAAGTACATCAACATGATAGCCCACGATTCACTCAGAAAGCACCAAGAACCCCTTCGAACATACACACA